TATCTATATCCTTATATCTATATCCTTATGTCTATGTCTATCTATGTTCTACACCACTTTTATTCAAAGTCTCTTCGGCCTAGTTTATGAGATTTAGTGAAAAACTTTAAGCTTAAAGAGCTCGTATCGCACACCTTACCCCAAATTTCTGGCAGTGTATGCCCCCTTTTTTAGTCCTGCTGCTGCTGCTGGCTAACTGAAAGCTTTCAGCGCTTTTAGGGCTTTCTTAGTGCCTGCGGCAATGGAAATGCCACTTGCTGCTGCAGCTAGTTGTTGTTGGCGGCGTTGTTGCAGTTGTTGCAGCTGTTCGCTGGCCGAGTGCTGCATGTTGCGTATGTGCTGCATGTTATCGGTGTGTGTGTGTCTGTGAGTGTGCGCCTTCGCTATGCCGGAGATTGCATGTCGATGCGACTTAATTGCATTTCAGACAGCGCTGCCAAACGAGCCGCTGCTCGTTGGCCGTGTTAAGCGGAAGGAAACGACGCTAAGTACAAGTTTTTGGTAAGGGGCAGCCGCTGCCGCTGCCGTGCATTGTTTTAGCCCAGCGAAATCGAAAGCGAAAACAAAGAACTGCACCAGACCAGTGCCCGTTCGACTCCTGCTGCGGCTGCAAAGTGTTTGCAGTTTAATAGCCCCGAAGGTGCTGCAGTGCATCCGAGCTGCAGTCGAAGGAGCACTAAACGAAAAATTAAACGTTAAGTTTACGTTCACGTTCACGTACCTTGGCACAGACACGACACACACATGACATGCGGGTGGTGACATAGCCACCCCTCCAAGTCCATATACAAATCCAAATCCAAAATCCAAAATCCGCCCTATTGGCGCAGCGCTCTTGCAGCACTCGCCCACCATTACTAATGCAGATGCACCACTATCAGCAGTGCCAACAGCAGCAACAGCAACAACAACAACTACTACAACAACAACAACAACGAATAGGTCTGCAACTAGGTATGTGGCTGTAATGGCAAAAACCGCCGACAAATCTGCTGCATTGCCACTGCCCAGAAGGGGACTTTGAGGCAACAGCCAGAGGAGAGATGGGAGAGTGAGGAGGAGGAAGAGATAGAGCGAGGGAGAGGGTGAGTGGAGAGCGGCGCTGAGGAGCGTACGGACGAGTGCCCATTGAGCCGGCGGGCCAAACTAACAGAGTGCTTATTTTAACGAAGTTACAACAACTTTGGCAATACAAACAGTAATGCCAGGCAGATTCACACTCGGTACAACACACACACACACATACAGTTGCACACTTAAGCACACACACCAATCTACCATATACAAATTGTAAAATCGCAGTGCTTCCCAAAGTATGCAACAACTAAAGCGAGCTGCGGAGTGAGCAACGCATCTGAAATACTCTATAGTTATTTAACTTAGAGGGCAATTGAAGTGAAAATAATAATAATAATATTAATAATAAAAATAATAATCAGCAAATAATGCTCAATAACAAATTTTTAATTATTATTATTTTATATTTATTATAAAAAATTTAATAAATAATAAATATTTAATTTTGAAAATTATAGGGCAACTGAAATAAAATAATAACAATAAAATAATAATAATACTAATAAAAGAAATAATAATACTAATACAAATAATAAATAAATAATGATTAATAGCAAAATTAAAAAAAAAAAATTAAAAAAGTAATAATAAAACTAATAGTACTATTTTTCAAAAATATTTAACAGATACAAAATAACTAATAATTGAAAAGTATCTACTAAAATTTCTATACAAGTCAATATAAA